TCAGGCCTCACTCACCGCCGCCGTGGCCAGGCTGTGCATGTTCGGAGCCTCCCCCAGGCTCTCGTCTGTCCTGCTCCGCTCTTCCTCCGCCTCCTTCTATCCAACAACAACCGGCGACCCGCCCCTTCCGCTGACATCACAGCCTCACGTGACACGCGCAAAAAAGGGGGAGACTGATCACGTGCTCATCAATTCCGAGGTCCCGCCGTATAGCGCCCCCGAAGAGTTCGCTGTAAACCGGAAAAAACAAACGAAGTTCGGAATTAAACGGGAAAAGAGAAAAAGGAGCCATTTTGACGTCATCGATGTGCGCGACGCGGTCATACGCAGATGACGTCACTCCGCTCCTGAGTGAGACGTTCGCTTCTGCGCTGAGAAGATTGACAACTTCCCGCCAAATCGTGCGCTGTGTGTGACAGGCGGAGGAGCCGGGCCCGGGGCCCCCACAGGGTGAGTGAGAGCGTCGCCAGGGGCCCCAGGGGGGAGGGACTGACTTAGGCTTTATGTTTGAGGGGAGCTACATGTCCCCCTGACAACCCCACATAGAGGGAAACTACAAGAGCCTGCATGTCCCCTGACAACCCACCACATAGAGGGAACTACAAGAGCCTGCATGTCCCCTGACAGCCCCATCTAGAGGGAACTACAAGAGCCTGCATGTCCCCTGACAGCCCCCACAGAGGGAACTGCAAGAGCCTGCATGTCCCCTGACAGCCCCATATAGAGGGAACTGCAAGAGCCTGCATTTCCCCTGACAACCCCATCTAGAGGGAACTGCAAGAGCCTGCATGTCCCCTGACAACCCCATCTAGAGGGAACTACAAGAGCCTGCATGTCCCCTGACAACCCCATATTTATTTATTTCAGGTACTTATATAGCGCCATCAATTTACACAGCACTTTACATATATATTGTACATTCACATCAGTCCCTAACCCTCAAGGGGCGTACAATCTAAGGTCCCTAACTCACATTCATACATACACATACTAGGGACAATTTAGACAGGAGCCAATTAACCTACCAGCATGTCTTTGGAGTGTGGGAGGAAACCGGAGTACCTGGAGGAAACCCACACAGGCACAGGGAGCACATGCAAACTCCAGGCAGGAGGTGCCGTGGTTGGGATTCAAACCAACGACCCGAGTACTGCCAGGTGGAAGTGCTAACCATTTAGCCACTGTATCAGATGTCTTGCAAATCGCACCTGAAATCGGCATCTCACCGGACTTTAAAATCGTGTGACTTCACTGTAAGTGGCACGATTTGAAAGTCGGCTTAATGTGACCGGGAGTGTTAAGCAACTTTCTATTTCCCTAGAGGGAACTACAAGAACCTGCATGTCCCCTGACAACCCCATATAGAGGGAACTACAAGAACCTGCATGTCCCCTGACAACCCCACCATAGAGGGAACTACAAGAACCTGCATGTCCCCTGACAACCCACCACAGAGGGAACTACAAGAACCTGCAGTCCCCTGACAACCCCATGAACCTGCATGTCCCCTGACAACCCACCACAGAGGGAACTACAAGAACCTGCATGTCCCCTGACAACCCCATATAGAGGGAACTACAAGAACCTGCATGTCCCCTGACAACCCCATATAGAGGGAACTACAAGAACCTGCATGTCCCCTGACAACCCACCACAGAGGGATCTACAAGAACCTGCATGTCCCCTGACAACCCCATATAGAGGGAACTACAAGAACCTGCATGTCCCCTGACAACCTCATATAGAGGGAACTACAAGAACCTGCATGTCCCCTGACAACCCACCACAGAGTTAATTACAAGAGCCTGCATGTCCCCCCACAACCCCATGTAGGGAGAACCTCAAGAGCCTGCGCCCCCCTGTCCTCATGTAGGGGGAACCTCAAGAGCCTGTTTGACACCTTCCCTTGACAGAGTGTTTGACACCTTCCCTGTTTATTGTGTGATGTAGGAAGTTGGGGTTGTCACCATTTTATTCTCCAGGCTCTCTGCCTTCAGATGTTGTTTTTTGGGATTTCACTCCTCTTCAGGCCTACCTACCTCAGTTCTTCCGTGGCAGAGAGGCCGCGCTGCACCAGGTCACTTGCATGTACGCAGCCGCCATTTCCGGGGAGGGAATGCGCAAGTCGCCACTTCTGTGCTGCCATTCACTACAGCGCAAGGCACTCAGCAGGACCTGACCCATGATTCATGGCCGGGACCTGCCGATCGGCTTATCGAATGACAGTTCAGAGCTCTGTGTTTACTCGGGCAATGAACAGAGAGCAGCCTGGGAGGGAGACGAGTGAGGGGGAGCGACGAGTGAGGGAGCCCGGGAGGGAGACGAGTGAAGGGAGCGCGGCCCGGGAGGGAGACGAGTGAAGGGAGCGCGGCCCGGGAGGGAGACGAGTGAAGGGAGCGCGGCCCGGGAGGGAGACGAGTGAAGGGAGCGCGGCCCGGGAGGGGACGAGGGAGCGTGAAGGGAGCGCGGCCGGGGGAGGGAGACGAGTGAAGGGAGCGCGGCCCGGGAGGGAGACGAGTGAAGGGAGCGCGGCCCGGGAGGGGAGAGGAGTGAAGGGAGCGCGGCCCGGGAGGGAGAGGAGGGTGAAGGGAGCGCGGCCCGGGAGGGAGAGGAGTGAAGGGAGCGCGGCCCGGGAGGGAGAGGAGTGAAGGGAGCGCGGCCCGGGAGGGAGAGGAGTGAAGGGAGCGCGGCCCGGGAGGGAGAGGAGTGAAGGGAGCGCGGCCCGGGAGGGAGAGGAGTGAAGGGAGCGCGGCCCGGGAGGGAGAGGAGTGAAGGGAGCGCGGCCCGGGAGGGAGAGGAGTGAAGGGAGCGCGGCGGGAGGGAGAGGAGTGAAGGGAGCGGCCCGGGAGGGAGATGAATGCTGCACACATGACACATTGTTAGGCACACGGTTAACCCTTTGGTTGACTCTAGATATTAACCCCTTCCCAGCCGGTGTCATTAGTACAGTCTATACTATGATCACTGTATTCATCTTTGGTCACACTGAATCTGACTTTGAAATTGTGCGACTTCACGTGAAGTCTCGTTCTTTCAAAGTCGGATGACCGTGCGACTTCATGCACAGATGTCTATTCGAGTCGCTCGTGAACTTGCGGAAAGTAGTGCATGAAGTGCTTTCAGAATCTGGAGTAGCTCTGAATTGACCTCTTCCATTGTAGACAATATGATGCGACTTGAAATGCGCATGACTAGTCATACCGGTGTCACCGGGGATGTCCGTGTCAGATAGGGGGGAGTCCCCCCTTACATCAGTCCTCAGAAAACCCACTTACATCAGAGTCTGACGAGTTCCCCCTTACATCAGAGTCCCCCTTTATATACACTGGGGGAACTCTGATGCAAGGGGGAACTCTGGTGACCAGAGACCCCCTTACGTGAGTTCCCTTTTGTATACCTTGTAATAGGATCTATGACATAAGGGGGGCTTCTGATGTCATAGTCCCTATTACAAAGTGTACAAAAGGGAACTCTGATGTCAGGGGGTCTCTGGTCACCAGAGTTCCCCCTTGCATCAGAGTTCCCCCAGTGTATATAAAGGGGGACTCTGATGTAAGGGGGAACTCTGCGGACTCTGGTCATCACAGAGATCCCACTTACATCAGAGTTGCCCTTTACTCCAGAGTCAGCAGAGTTCCACTTTACTCCAGAGTCCGCAGAGTTCCCCCTTACATCAGAGTCCCCCCTTTATGTACAGTGGGGGAACTCTGATGCAAGGGGGAACTCTGGTGACCAGAGACCCCCTTACATCAGAGTTCCCTTATGTACACCTTGTAATATGGACTATGACATCAGAAGCCCCCCCTTACATCACAGTCCACAAAGATCCCCCTTATGTCATAGACCCTATTACAAGGTATACAAAAGGGAACTTTGATGTAAGGGGGTCTCTGGTCACCAGAGTTCCCCCAGTGTATATAAAGGGGGACTCTGATGTAAGGGGGAACTCTGTGGACTTTGGAGTAAAGTGGAACTCTGCTGACTCTGGAGTAATGGGTAACTCTGATGTAAGTGGGATCTCTGTGGAGACCAGAGTCAGCAGAGTTTCCCTTTAAACCAGTGTGTCAGAGTATTTATAGAAGGGGGCCAGGTCAGCCATGGCAGCCCCCTAATTGCATCTGCAAAGTCATTTACCTTACATTACCAGCACTCCCCACCCCACACAATATTGCCCTCCCCTCCTTGGGGCCACCAGTCCCAGCATAGTGGGTTGGGGGCCCATTTCTCAGCTTCTCCCCAGTGCCCCCCACCAGGGGGTACATCGTCTGATGAGCACGGTCCCCTCCCTACACAGTTTGCCCTCCCCTTCTTGGAAATACCAATCCCAGCATTTCTCAGCTTGGGGAGTACATCGTCTGATAAAATGCGGTCGCTATGGTCAAATGACCGAGAGAGACAAAAGGACGTTGCAAAGGATCGTGACCCAGAATTAGAGAACAGCTGCTGAAAAAGTGACTGCAGAGCTCAGTCTTCCTGGGACTGAGATTGAGCTCTGCAGTCACTTTTGCAGAAGTTGTTTTCTTATTCCGGGTCAAAATCCTGCCCAATGTCTTTTTGTGTCTCACGGTCGGTTGGCCATAGCGACCACTTAAGTTCATCAGACGGCGTGTTCCTGGAAACTGTATACGCCGTCCCAACCTTTGACACTGCGCCTCGCGACCCGGCAAAGAAATCGATATTCAGTCCTAGAAGCACCAGCTAAGCAGCACCAACAATTTTCCCTCTTTGAAGGTCAGTAAGCTCTGACATGACTCCGTATCAATAGCAGCGCACGCAGCGAATGACAAAAGTGAGGCTTCCTGCCTGTTAGCTTGGTGTCTCATCACACAGTGGAAGCAAAAGAATGTTACATCACTTCCGCTTTCAGCGCGAATTATGTTTTCACTTTCACACCTGCAAACCATACAGCGTTTCCATTTATTTTTTGTCTAACCCCTCTATATGTAGCTTTAAGCTGATGAACTTTTGGCTTTATTTTTACTGTTCCCTTTCATCCTTCAGATCGCCTCTTGTCTGAGATCTCTGCCATTTTTTTTAAAATGGCTTCCCTTAGCCTGAGGGGCTCCATTCGGATCCACTGCCTGAATATGGGAACATCGAAGTGGAAGGAAGGCAGCTGTGAAGTCGTGGAGAAAGATAACAAATACAGCCTCGTGGTGAATTTCAATGCTGGTGGCGTGCCTGCAAAATTTCAGGTTAGCATATTGTTTGTTTTTAACCACTTGCCTACCAGGCACTTATACCCCCTTATGTACCAGGCCAATTTTCAGCTTTCAGCGCTGCCGCACTTTGACAATTGCGCGGTCATACAACATTGTACCCATATGAAATTTTGATCATTTTTTTCTCACAAATAGAGCTTTCTTTTGGTGGTATTTAATCGCCACTGGGCGCTTTACTTTTTGCGCTATAAATAAAAAAAAGTGCAAAAAATTTGAAAAAAAAAAAGTTTCTTTGTTTCTATTATAAAAATTTTCAAACAGGTATTTTTTCTCCTTCACTGATGTGCGTTGATGAGGCAGCACTGATGGGCACTGATAGGCGGCACTGATAGGCAGCACTAAAGGGCACTGATAGGCAGTACTAATGAGGTGACACGGATAGGCGGCACTGATAGACAGCACTAATGAGGTGTCACGGATAGGCGGCACTAATATGCAGCACTGATAGGCGGCACTGATAGGTGACACTGATGATGGGTACTGATAGACGGCACTGACTGGCATCACTGTTGGGCACTGACTGGTGGCACTGACTGGCACAACCCCTGGGCACTGACTGGTGGCACTGACTAGCAGCACTGCTGGGCTGCACTGGTGGGTGACAGCTGGTGGGCAACACTAGTGGGTGGGCACAGGTGGGTGGCACTGCTGGGCACAGGTGGGTGGCACTGCAGGGCGGCACAGGTGGGTGGCACTGCAGAGTGGCACAGGTGGGTGGCACTGCAGAGTGGCACAGGTGGGTGGCACTGCAGAGTGGCACAGGTGGGTGGCACTGCAGAGTGGCACAGGTGGGTGGCACTGCAGAGTGGCACAGGTGGGTGGCACTGCAGAGTGGCACAGGTGGGCGGAGCTAGTGGGCGCACTGCTGGGCACAGGTGGGCGGAACTTGCGGGTGGCACTGCTGGGCACCGATCATCAGGGCACTGATCATCAGTGCCGATCCCCGCTCTGACAACTGCCGGTTCTCGGCAGTACTTTCCTCACGATCTGACAGTGTGAGGAAAGTGCAGCCGAGAACCGGCACTTGCATTTCCCTCTGATCAGCGTGTCATTGGACACCGCTGATCACGTGGTAAAAGGCCGCTGTGACCACGTCACGTGATCAGCTGTGTCCGTAGGACACAGCGATCACGGAGATCGCCGGGTGCGCGCCCCCTGGGGCGCGCAGGAGAGCGCGTTCTGGGGGGACGTCATATGACGTCCACTCAGAACTGGCCGGCCGCAGTGCAGCCGTCATTCGGCTATCTGCGGTCGGCAACTATTTAAAAGTGGGATGGGTCTCATTCATACCAGTGTTTGTTTTTTTGTTTTTTTTTATTTTTTGTTTGTTTTTTTTATTTTTGTATATAGAAAATTATAGCCTGCTTTAGATGGAAATGGAACGGTAACTAACATTTAATTGCTGGATAACTGGTGTAAAAACCACATGATATATCATTATCGCTTCAGTCCATCCTGAATACGGCTGCCAGACTCATTCACCTTTCCAACCGCTCCATCTCCGCCACCCCCCTCTGCCAATCCCTCCACTGGCTTCCGATTGCGCAACGGATAAAATTCAAAATCCTAACGCTGACGTACAAAGCTGTCCACCATACTGCCCCGAACTACATCTCTGACCTAATATCCAAGTACCGCCCAACACGCACACTCCGCTCCTCACAAGACCTCCTTCTCTCTAGTTCCCTGGTCTCCTCCTCCCATGCCCGCCTCCAGGACTTCTCCAGGGTGTCACCCATCCTCTGGAACTCCCTGCCCCACCCATCAGATTATCACCTACTCTCCTTTAGGCGCACCCTGAAAACCCATCTCTTCAGGGAAGCCTACCCCACCCCCTGCTAACTTGCCGACCTCCTCCACTCTTCCTACCACTCCATCCCCCACAGCTATCTCCTCCTGTGCCACCATCCCCTCCCTCCTAGATTGTAAGCTCCAAGGAGCAGGGCCCTCGATCCCCTCATGTTTTGCATTGTATTGTTATTGTTCTGTCACATGTTCTGTCCCCCATTGTAATGTACAGCGCTGAGCGAACTATTGGCGCTTTATAAATACTGTATAATAATAATAATTATTTTATGAAAGTGAAGTGACCTTTAAAGTGGTATTAAACCCAAAACCAAAAATGTGTTATATTATAGTTTACCGATTATTAGGTGTGGTGGCTGTATTAGTTTTTCTTTTTTAGGCTTTTTTTTTCTCTGCTTTCACCTGGTGATCTGGCCAGAATACACACCTCCTGTATTAGAGCGCCTCTACTTTGGATGAAGGAACACAGGAGGCACCTTTTTGGACAGCAGGATTGTGTGTCTTGGGGGAGTGTTTAGATGTACTTTTGAAAAACAACAGACTTGCTGGCCAGATCACCATTTGAAAGAAACCTAAAAAAAGAAAGCTAATGCAGCCACTACATCTAAGAATTGGTAAGTTGCAATATATAAAATGTTTGCTTTAGGGTGTTACCGAACCCACAACAGCACAATCAGTCTGTATATGCAGTAAAGAGTACTTGTACTGTGAAACATAAGGGGTTAATCCTCCGCATTGTGTAAAAAAGATGTTTGATCCTCCCCTTCTTCCACAGTCCACAAGCCATCTGCTGATAGAACAAAGCCCTGGGGGCCTGCTGCACATGCGCAGTTTGGTGTATTGCTAGAGGTTTTTTTTTGTCTTGGGAGAGCGTGTGATCAGCACAGGGCCAATCAACGTTGTCCAGACAGAGGTCAGGGGTCCTGCAGCCTAATAGGGAGAATGGAAACTCCTCCTACAAGCTTTAACAAGTGCTCTGCTGGACACTGATAGAAGTCACAAGACTGCTCTAACTGCTGATGAGTAAAGGTATTTAGCAGTTTATATTTATTAAAATAATTGCATTTCCATGTTCTGTGTACTGTGGGAGACCAGATATAGTGAATGCAGTGTCCGGGGAGAGCGGATATAGTGGATGGGGGTTTGGGGAGACCATATATAGTGAATGCAGGGTCCGGGGAGAGCGGATATAGTGGATGGGGGTTCGGGGAGAGGGGATATAGTGAATGCGGGGTCCTGGGAGAGGGGATATAGTGAATGCGGGGTCCTGGGAGAGGGGATATAGTGAATGCGGGGTCCGGGGAGAGCGGATATAGTGGATGCGGGGAGAGGGGTCCGGGGAGAGCGGATATAGTGGATGCGGGGTCCGGGGAGACCGGATATAGTGGATGCGGGGTCCGGGGGGGAGACCGGATATAGTGGATGCGGGGTCCGGATATAGTGGATGCGGGGTCCGGGGAGACCGGATATAGTGGATGCGGGGTCCGGGGAGACCGGATATAGTGGATGCGGGGTCCGGGGAGAGCGGATATAGTGGATGCGGGGGGGACCGGGGAGACCAGAGCGGATATAGTGGATGTGGGGTCCGGGGGTTTAGTAACACTTTAATACCACTTTAAAGGGTAACACCACTTTCTTGGGGAAAAAAATATAGCGTATACAATTGCGAGACAAATCATGATGTTATTGTTTTTTGCACGGAACACCCCCCAGAAATGTCATTTCCTCCTTGTGTGATTGGCTCACTGATTTTCCCAGAAGTCTGCACTAAAATCCAAGTCAGGTTTTTGTCATCCCCTGCAACAAAAATATCCTTTTTGGGGAGATACTCCCAAAGGAACATCATGTCTAAAGGGATGCAGACCCTGCCACTTTCCTCAGAGCCCTGCAGGTGCAGCAGCTGATTTATAATTATGAAATCACTCCCATACAGATTCACTTTACACATGAGCACAAGCAAACAACGTTTTCTTCAGAATAACAAAAGGTAGGAATCTGCAGCAGTTTGTTAAAATTCCTGCAATGTGCAGAGGGGAATGTTTTTGTTTTTTTTCTCAACAAAGGTGGAGTTAAAGTTAACGTAATGACCATTTTTTTCATGACGTTTCATAGCTAATCAATTATTTTAATGCAGTAGAAAAATAACCAACAATTTTGTTTCAATTTTACATTTCTAGCTCCATCAGAACATTAAAAATGTTGTTTTGCGGCCAGCCGGAGCGAAACAAAGCAGGTTATTGGTTACGCTGAAAGATACCAGTTCTCTCACGATTGACAAGGTTCCAAGCAAAGATGCTGAGGAGCTGAAACACTTTCTAGAGACCATTACACATGAAAAGGCTCAAACAGGTAAGGGAGACCCATATTGGAGGATGGGCAGTAAAGCTTTTAAACCGTTTTATATATATATTTGTTGTACTTGTAAGGCTGCACTCACATTTCTTTATCCTGTTTCACTACCAAGTTATGGCATTGAAATTACTAGAACAAGCCAGAATTTTGTTACAAAATTGTACATCCTACCTATGGCTTACACCCTGGTCCACATATATGCAGCCATGCGGGCCTCGTTTTGCGCAGGCACGAGAGCCCATTCATTTGAATGGACTCCCGTGCCCCGTGACACGCAGGGAAGAAGTCCCTGCACTTCTGAAAACGCAGCCCGCACGGGAACCTTGGTTCCCAGTATGGTTGCGTTTTCCAGTGTGGGCGGCGTGCCATTAGAACTAATGGCACCCACCCGCGGGTCCGCATTCCTCTGTGCAGGTGGTCGGCTGCATGCATTTTCGGGCGGATCTGCAGCGACACCACCCGCACAGATGTGAACCAAGCCTAAATGTAGAAGTGATCATAATCAATTGCATTACTCAACAGAAAACCACTGTGATAAAGAAAGTCCAGTGACTAAAAATCAAGTGACAAAAAAAATTCAAAAAATCCCAAAAAATATATATTTTAACAGTCCCGTGACAAAAAAATCAAATAAATTATAATTTTCATTGGATTCTTCCGTGTTTATGATCCCTTCACATCCATCCACCAGTGCAGAAATCAACATTAATTGCACTCACCAGATGTAGTGAGTCACACGCCTTTCAGGAATATTAAGGGCTCCTGGACCCCCTTTACTTTTTGTGAGACCTCAAATGCTGTTTCTTCTTATGTCTGGGTACCTCTTCTGCTTATGAATCCCCCAAGGAAAATCAGGAAGAAGAAAAGACCATAGCGTGATACCGTAGTAATTTCTCAGACCACTCATGCGGGATATAACCCACCTTTTATTCAAAACAACAAAATTTTCTTCCAAAATGATCCACTTTTCAAGTACACCGACTTTTTGACCCCACACTCGTATCAGAGATGGCATAACAGGGCGTTATATCATTTCCACTTCCGGCGTCTTGATAACGCCCTGTGGGTGGGGACGCTTGACGCACTTCCGGTTGCCTGTTCCGTCGTCTGACGTCATTTCCGAGTGTGAGTGGAGCGCACGCCGAGCGGTGCGTTCCAAGGGGCCATCTTAGCTTAGCAGATGGTAGCTGAGGTCTGCCATCCTGCTGTATACGAGGCTGTGGGGTCTCTTAAAAAGTCGGTGTGAAAAGTGGATCACTTTGGAAGAAAATTATTGTTGGAATAAAAGGTGGGTTATATCCCGCAAAAGAATGTGAGTGATCTGGAGAGATTACTTTGAGGAGAAATTACTACGGTATCACGCTATGGTCTTTTCTTCTTCCTGATTTTCCTTGGGGGATTCGGTGAGAGGAGTAAGCAGAAGAGGTACCCAGACATAAGAGAAACAGCATTTGGAGGTCTCACAAAAAGTAAAGGGGGTCCAGGAGCCCTTAATATTCCTGAAAGGCGTGTGACTCACTACTATCTGGTGAGTGCGGTTAATGTTGATTTCTGCACTGGTGGATGGTGAAGGGATCATAAACACGGAAGAATCCAATGAAAATTATAATTTATTTGATTTTTTTGTCACAGGACTGTTAAATATATATTTTTTGGAATTTTTTGAATTTTTTTTGTCACTTGATTTTTAGTCACTGGACTTATGAATTTAATATTTTTATATTAATTTATTTATATATAATTTATTATATATATTTTTATTAGCACTAAGTGGTTTTCTAAGTTGAGTAATGCAATTGATTATGTGGGTTTGCGCTGGTTTTTATTTTAAAAGTTTTTTGGTTTTTTGTACCTGTGCACAGCAGCATCTCACGGGGATTTGTATGGTTAATAGGAGAGTCCTGGGCGCTGAGGTTTTGTTTTCTTTATATAAATGTAGAAGTGATCTAGACAGCTGGATAGAAAGCTGCTCTAGCATTTTTAGACCCCACTTGGAATACTGTGCCCACTTCTGGAGACTTCTCATTCAACAAGATGTTGATGAGATAGAATGAGTTCAGAAATGGGAAAAAAAAAAATGGTGACCGGTCTGAGGGATAAAACCTATCATGAGAGACTTCAGGAACTTAACCCCTTTGAGTTTCAGAAGCAGGAGGTGGGGGCGGGGTTTAGGGTCATGTGACTGCCGTGACACGTCGTCACGGCGGTCACATGATTGGGAAAGGTCCCGATCGAAAGAGGCGATCGGGACCTTTCCGTGAGTACCGGACGTGTGCTGGGGGAGCGCGCAGGGCGTGCGCTTTTGGCACATATGTCCTTTTTTAATAGAACGCAAATGTGCGGCCGCTCGGCGTCTAGACCCAGACGCCGGGAGCCGCACATTTGCGTTTGGCCGGTGTGAAGAGGTTAATACAGTATGTGCAGTCTGGGGAAAAGGAGGAGACCTGATTAAAAAATATAAATGCATTCGCCCCTTTTGCTGCTGCCTGCTCCTGACCCTTTAAGTGGATCTAAATGCTGGGAGATATGGGACCGCTGTGATTGGCAGTCATTTGATCAGAAAGCTGCCAATCGCAAGTATGTATCAGGAGCTTTCCGGTACACGCTCATTACTGTGCTGGGAGCATGCTTTCAGCACAGTAAAGTGTTCACGTAGGGCTGCATATATGCGGCTGCTCATAGTTAAAGCCCACCCGCTGAGAGGCCTCATATATGTGCCGGGTTGCCTGGAAGAGGTTAAGGGTGTGAATAAGGTTCAGGTGGGCAGCATCTTCCATATGAAGCCAAGATGAAGAACACGGGGACATGATCTCAAACTAGTTGGAGGAAAGTTCAAAACTAGTCTTTGAAATTATTATTTTCCCAAAAGAATAGTTGACGCTTGGAACAGATTTACAGCAGCAGGGTAGTAAGTCAGTCAACAGTAAATGGATTCAGGCATGCTTGGGACAAACAAATCTTTACTCAGACAAAAAGTAAAACACACACACACGTTTACAATGTCTTTTTCTGCCTTCATTCTTCTACAGTATGTTCTTGAGCCAACACTCTATTTCTGAATGTAATATTCTTTTCCTAGTAAAACCAGTCCAAGGGTCTGGAAGTTTTGGTGGCATTCTGGGAAACAGAAGCACCCAGCGAGACAGCAACAGACCTTTAACTAACCTCCAAAGTCAGGTATGCCTGCATGTGTAGTTAAGATATTGATTACTGTATAAGATGGATGAATACTGTAGGTCTGTCACCATTTATGTGTAGTCAGTCTTTTTAGGCATGGTGTCCTTTTTATTAAGTTAAAGGATGAGTTTACCATGGCGACCGCGCTTAAGTTCATCTGACGGCATTGTGTCAATTGTGCGCTTAGATACACGGACGCTGGCAACAATTTTGTCTCATGACCTGTAAATCTTGATTCTCCCTCCATCCCTTCTGATGGAATGTGAGTCTGTAGTGAAGGAGGGGTCAAAAGTGCATAGGCGCAGCTGAATAAGCTCCATGGTTGTAATCCCTAATTAGCCTTGTTCCAGAATGTCTGCTTGACAACCACTTTCCTCTGCCTGGTTGTAAAACCATAACTCAGTCGGTCACGACCTGGAAGCATTACAACAGAGGGTGCCATGAAATGTACATCCCACATGAGTCATTTTTCATACAAATTCATAAACTTCAGCAGGAACTGGGCACATTGATATGAATTATATATGCGGATAGGTCATTTTAATATGAGTCATATGACACCTTCAAAAGGATAAATACGAGCGCATCTATGAAATAGCAGCTGAGCATAAGGTACCATACACCCTCAAAACAATATATATCACAAGATGCAGCGCTATAAACTATAACATATATGCATGAATCAAAAATCAGTCATAAAATGACTGAACAGTTGAAAGTTCATATAATAGGTGACTTTAGTGCTCTCTTCTACTTTATATCCTCCTGGTGGTCAGGCGTTTGTGCAAAATAGTGCTGAAGGGGTGCACACTCACCAGAACGCACAGGTATATGAGCGTTTAGTATAGATTCCCCTTTAGGATCATCGACTGGACACGATGTGATATTAGGACCACCACTTTCCAGAACTCCTAGATGTTCCTGTAAATTCCCTTGTTGGGTGACCTGCGGACTTCTCCTTAGGATCGGTATACGATTCGTACCCCGCAAAGAGATGGGTGACTAGAATGGGTACTCCCCAAGGGAGTCAGAACAAAACGCATCCATAGTGTAGTAGGTCATTTAAAAAATTTATTAAAAGCTCAACAATCCGTGTACACGGTGGTATATAAACAATATGGACTAACCGTCCAGTGATAAAGATGACCGCCGGAGCTCCACGATGCTCCGGCGGTATGACGTCACGGCGTTCCTGGCTCCTCCTACGCGTTTCGTGCACACGCACGTCGTCTGGGGGGATATGCCACTGAACGCCGAGCCGTGCGACGTCCATTTATATGCTAGGCGCATGCGCATTAGAAAGGCGCCATCATTTTGGAGTCTAACCACAGACAACCGGATTTTTCATACCGGCGCCATTTTCCATTAGTTATATATGCTAATATCACAGCAATATATATACTCGGCTGGTTGTCATTCCCAATCATCTGACTATGATCCTGTGGTGCCTTCTAATCGATGTTTCCGGCTTTTTCTCCAAGCCGATAAATGTACAATTTGCTCTATGTGATAATAAGATAAGTATATTTCCAATTAGCCAGAAATGAAATACGAATCAAAATCGCCTTGTGTATATGGCACTAGCATATAAACCACTTGCCAAAATATATAGTATACTGTTCATTAAAATACATATAAAATATAAGTCAAACAATCCTAATGTTATGCAATTAAAACAAAGGACTACCGTGGGTCCTTGCTAAAATATAGGTTATAAACTAGTATATAAAATATTACAGTATAGACCTATCAATACCAGTGGATTTTTGTATATAGATGGCACATCAAGATTCTCTAGAAGGGCTGCAGCCCAAAGGTCACAATATAGATATAGATCTTAATTGTTTCATTAATAACAGTTAAAACTTTATGGGCTGTGGTGTAAAAATATACTAAGAAAATAGGATACGATGCTGTTGGCTTAATATACTTATTTCCCCTTCTAGAGAATCTTGATGTGCCATCTATATACAAAAATCCACTGGTATTGATAGGTCTATACTGTAATATTTTATATACTAGTTTTTATAACCTATATTTTAGCAAGGACCCACGGTAGTCCTTTGTTTTAATTGCATAACATTAGGATTGTTTTGACTTATATTTTATATGTATTTTAATGAACAGTATACTATATATTTTGGCAAGTGGTTTATATGCTAGTGCCATATACACAAGGCGATTTTGATTCGTATTTCATTTCTGGCTAATTGGAAATATACTTATCTTATTATCACATAGAGCAAATTGTACATTTATCGGCTTGGAGAAAAAGCCGGAAACATCGATTAGAAGGCACCACAGGATCATAGTCAGATGATTGGGAATGACAACCAGCCGAGTATATATATTGCTGTGATATTAGCATATATAACTAATGGAAAATGGCGCCGGTATGAAAATCCGGTTGTCTGTGGTTAGACTCCAAAATGATGGCGCCTTT